CTTCTGGTTACTTAGCTCCTTAGGAAGTCAGAGCTGCAGAAGACCTTTGTGATGCTCTAGTCCATCTCCTGTTTTACAGACTGAGGCCCAGAGAGGTAAAGAGCCCAAGGACACGTGCCTAGTTCATGGCAGAGGCCATTCCCCATCTTCAGTAACATCAGACCCCTCATTCAGTGATCCCTTACCAAGAAGCTGCTATGTATCTACAAAGGCTCAGATTGGGGGGTGAAAAAATAAATAAGATATCATTTCTGCTACTCACTCAAGATTATATACTTGGATCAAAGATGGAAGTTCTGCTTGGCTGTCATTCCAGCATACCTGTCCTTTCTCTGAAAACCGAAAATGGAGATGGGACATTTTAATCCCAAGGACGCAATTTCTGCTTTCTCTACTGAGGTCCAAAGTGCCACCAACTCTTTGCATGGAAGGATCCATTCTTCTATGGCTGGAGATGGGAGAGCGAGGCTATTTCTTCAACATTCTCCCAAGTGTGTCCCCCAAATGCCAAGTCAGCCTCGTAGCAAGCCATAGTTCATGTCACGAAAGCTGCAAGCAAAAATCAAATGCAAGTTTAGTTTTAATTAATCAAAAGTTGTGTGCATTTGTTTTAAGTATGAACTAAAGTATACAGTTTTTAAGGTTTAATATTTTTCCTGTCCAAGAAGTGGGAAGTCAAGGTGTAGGACCCCAGAGAAGCTGCCTGCAAGAAGATGAGTCTGGGAGAGCCTACAGAGTATTCCAGAACGAGTAGCCCTCAATGCCTTAAAAGTCCTATTACTTGCTTGCTTTTTCAAAACCCATGTTCGGCCACTGAAAATCTGGGGATCTCTGAATGGCACACACAGAAAGCAGTCTGTCTCCGGGTGAAATTCCAGTGGTGACATGAAACCCAGCACACATAAGGAAGGACAGAACTTCCACATTCTGCAGCCTCCGACGTGCAGAAATGAAAAAGCCACACGATGGTGCTATAACCCAAGCAGAAATGTCACTTTATCCTAAGCCAAGACCCATGTGCGTCTCATCCTGTATCTATGACAACAGTAGCTGAGAAAGGGGGTGTCAGCTAGCTGGTTCCCTTTGTTAATAGGGGTATTTTCAGATAACATGACAGTCCTTTGGGCTATGTGAAGAAACTGAGTCTTCTGAAGAGTGCTGTAATTTCCCTTCAGTCTAACACAGTCCCTAAAGGAAAACCCTAGTTTGGGGGAGGGAGAGATAACTATTTACATAACTTTCTGAGTCTTCATTTCTTCGTTTGTAGAACAGGAGCAACTCGAATTCGTTACACGTGAGAAAACACTCTCTAGTTATGTTTGAGTTCCCAGTGTCTGGCACCAAGTGGAACTTAATAGAAGTTTGCAGTGTTCCAGGCCCTGGATTAAGAGCTTACTTACGTTATTTCATTTAATTCTTGCAAAAATCACTTGAGGAGACTCAAAATGGATCAAAGACCTAAATACAAAACCTAAAACGATCAAGATCATGAAA